CTGTTTTGGTCTTTTTAACCCACTTTGAAGGGAGGTAACAGGCTGTGTCATCCCTGTGCCCAGTCTGAGCTCACCAACCATTACTGATTCTTCTAATTTCTTGACCAGCAATTCCAGCACTTGGTTTTGTTGCCTATTTTTCCAACTTTAAAGTAGGTCAGTGTGACTAATATAACAATGTTATTCAATGCCCACGGAGTATATTCCCTTCTCCTAGTACTCACTACTGCAGCGTTCTTGCTGTTATGACCTGCTGCAAACTGGACTGGTGTTTATAGCTGGACTCCTGAACCTGACCCCGGGAAATAGAACTGAGCGCAATGAAGTCTGAAGCAGAATGAGACAGACAGAGAATTGAATCTGACAGACTTCCTGTCAGGAGATGGTGATGAATCACATACATTGTTATTCACTATGACATCCTTCACATACATCAATTTTAAGGGTCATCCCCAAAGCCTTTATGTCTGCAGGAGCAGGTTATAATCTGATTGTACTGTGTCACCTGACCTAAAAATTGGCTACTCTCTTTTTGGAAAACAGCTACACGTCACTGGTGTGATGTAACTGTCTCCTAGGAAATCAGGCTTTGCTAACACATTATTTCAAATTTTAAAAATGACATATAAAAATGATCTAATTCTGGATAAAAATAGACAATACGGGCAAATTGTGCATGCAGAGAAATGTGTTTGATTCAAACATCATGCCATCATATAAAAGTATTTTTAAGAATTTTAAAATAAAATAAAATTTGATAATGTTATTTCACAGTTCATGAGTGAATTCATTCCCAGCTCTCCTGACTATAAATATTCACAACCCTCACTTGCACTGAGAGATGTTTTTTAATTTTGAAACATGCGAAAATTGTACATTGTTCCTATGAAGTGTGCATGTTCTTTTATGGTAATATGTATTTGTAAATAATAAGCATATACACACACATTAAGCCAGACAGCTTATTTACAGCTTCTTCTAATTCATAGTTATTGAAGGTTGTAAGGTAAGGGAAACATTGTATTTTTTTCTCATATTAATTCTCCTCTAAACCATCTATTAGCAGCTTCAAACTAGTAGTCAAGGCTTTTTATATTAAATTTAATTGACACTTTTGCATTTATTAACTCACACACTGACATAAAAAATAAAGCACATTTGTATTGTTTGAAACGTCGCTTCTATTATTAGTTTATTACTTTCAGCAAAGCCATGAGCAGTCACCTGTTAATGGACACATCAGCATGTAGATCAGTAGAGCATGACATTAAACACTGACATTTCCCATAGATGATGTTCTCAATTACATAGAGAAAAAGCTGTGAAATTGAGAACCATCCCATCCAGAACTCAAACAGCTTGGTCTGCAGAACGTTGAACCCTAACCCAGGCTCAGTTTTTTCTAGCCTCTCTTTCCGTCTTACAAGGTCAAACACCTGTCCTTTTCTCTGTGCCTTCTCCCATCAGACACCTCCACCTTGGTTACTCAACTCTCAGCATGATTGACCCTGTGACCCCTGTCATGGCATGCAATTCCATGTCCACGACCTAAATCCACAGGGTTCTGTTGAATGTATCCCTTGTGGAACACATCCCCCTTTGAGCTGTCAATGTATTCCTACTCATCAAAAGTTAATTCTTGAAAGTCGTCATTGAGTCGATCTTGGCAGGCTGTGAACTTGTTTTGAGATGTTATTGTTTTATTTTCCATCGTAGACTCTGATTGAATGACGCTTGTTCAATACTTGTTGAAAAGTGTTCCTAACACTGTTGTACAGGTTTGTTAATACAAGCAGCTCTGATAGTAAATGTGACATTTACATAAAACTGGGACCTGGAGTCACTCTGATCTGTTTAGTCAAAAGAATAGGGAATCAATTTCTCCTCGACCTTTAATCTTTCCGCTTCATTATTGTCATGTCGGAGTATGAAAAAAAAAAAAAAACATCTTAGGGAGTATAGAAGTTTAGATCACAGCCAAAGAGGAATTTTAAAAAAATAAAACCACTGTGGCACTAGCAGCAAGCCAATATATTGGAGTGTAAGGAATCTGAGGCAGTCCAAAATAATGTTGGTCCTTAAATCACCTGCATGTGCTTCGCCTTCCCATGATGCAACCTGCTGAGATGGCATTTCTATTTAAAGCAAACAAACATAAACACACACACATGCTGAAAAATACAGAAAATTTAAAAAAAAATCTGAGTTAATATAAGTGTGAGCATGTCTTCAGAAGACTTGCTGAGCCCCCGTTTTTCTTTACGCGTCGTATAAATATAGCTCTTGCTATTTAATTTGTGAAACTCTCACGAAACAGGAAGTGGTATTAATAACCACCAAGCTGTGAATCCTGCGAGAATCAAACTGAAATAATGAAAAAACAAAACAAAACACACACACACACACAAAAAACCACTGTCTGCTTTAATAGGAACCGCTTCGTTTGCTTGTTTCAGCTCCACAAATCATTGAAAAGCAAAAATAAAATTCCTCCCAATGTGTTCTTAAAAGCTTTAAAACCTTAAATGGTTATCTTACATGTCAGGTGGATTGTTCCTGCAACAATAGACAGGAGGACTCTGATAGTTACCACCTCTGTCGGTGTGTTTGGTCAAGAGCTCAGTAAAGTCAAAAAAATGATTAAATGTAACCAAGTGAAGACAGCTATGAGTCAAAAAGGACTGTTTTCAATATGTATTTGCACTCTACACACTTGTGCAGTGAACTGGACTCTTTACAAACAGAAAACTTTTGTTTTTTGGTTGTTTGCATCACATTAATAATGATGTTTTGTTGTCTAAAAGATTGTTCATTTTATATTTGGGTGATGAGGAAAAGAAAATGAAAGCAGAACATTTGTGAAGAGAACTAAGGTTCTGGATGCAATATGGTTTTCATATGGAAAACACTCCATACCATAATAACTGAAACTTTGACAGCGCTGACCCCAGGACGGACCTGTAATTTCAGCAGTGTCACACAGGAGGTGTGAGACTCTCATGGAGAGCTACAGCCTGTCGCCTGTAGCACGCGGCATCCAAACGGACAGTTTAAAGGACAGCTCCACTGTGGCCTTCACTTTTGTACATTTCGACAACACTGCTCACATTTACTCTGGCTTTTTATAACCTAGGAGATTTAAAGCTGCTGGGGAAATATTTTATCCAAATGTTTCGTAGCTGGAGTTCAGTTATGACATGCTCTGGATCACTTCTGCTGCTGAAGAAAATGAATTCTTTAGGTGTGATCAAAGACAAGGGACTTGAATGCTGCTTTAAGCTGCCAAGCAGCCACCAATTCCCTGGCTGAAATGGTTATATTTATAGAGTATGTGACAGAAGCAACATTCACCTGCATCAGTGAGCTTGTTAAGCAGTTAAAAAAGTAACTAAGTAAATATCATATCAAGTAAAGTCTGGCATATCTTTTTTTTAAACGGCCTTTCGCTCTGGACGATGATTATATCTGCTAATATCCGCTGCAAGGCTGCTCTTTATCTCAGCTTGGATTAGTTGCTCAGGTGTGCGTCCGTGATTGAAACGTTTGACCACGCAGCTGCGTACCTATTGAATTAGGACACTGTTCGTGTGGCTACAATTTTGTGTGTATGCGTCCATGTGTTTCTTTGTTTTTGTGTGTGTACGTGCGTAGCGTCTGGAGGATAATTGCACTTCAATTACAAAACCATCAAACACAGGAGTCAGCCAGCAACCTTCCAGCCGCCCTGAAACACTGGGTAAATGGAGCAGTAAAGTGTGTGTTCAGCTTGCTCCTTTTATTAAAAACCAATGTGCTTCATGATAAGTTGCCCCTACACTGTGGGACCAGAGCCAAACAAACTAACAAACAGGATCCGTCCGCAGACCTTGGAAAAGCCTTTAAAGCACCGGGGGGATAAAAATCACTAAAAATGCTTTCAAAGGTGGTAGACGCAGTTTTCAGATCTCATATGTAACAATTAAATGAGTTTTATTGGCATACATTATGCCTGGTATCAGTTATTACGGTTTGAAAGTGTGTAATTGCTTTAAAATGAAAAATCATTTAGTTTTTACAGCCTTAATCTTTTATAGATAATGTATTTTATGCAACAACAGGCAGCCACGTGGTCATGTGATGTAATCTGGTGTACTGCATCAGCAGTGTGTGCCTGTGTGCGTACGTGTGCAAAATGTGAACAAAATATGAAGTGACTAGTAGAAATTGAACTGGTGTTCAGTGTCCAGGGGCCACAGGTCAGTGAGGCAAACAGACGACGTTTTCAGCTACAGACTGTAGAAGTACAAAGAAGAAGAAAAAAAAAACTAAATATAGAACATAATTAGAAAATGAAAAGGACAGTCTGGAGACACCCTCTAGCAGGTTTGGTGTCAGTTGAGCAAAAAATGCAAAAGAGTGGAAGTTTAATTAGTTTTAGAGACAAAACCAAGACTTTGTGATGTGTGAAGTATAAAAAGCCACCAACATTCAAACAATGTATTTTAATTTTTTAAACTTTAATAATAATGTTTGCTGAGGGGCTACCTTCAGGGTTAATGACATTTTTGTTGCAGCCAAATATGTTTTAGATATCTGGTGAATCTCTGTGCAAAGTTCGGTTTATTTTTACTTAGTAGTAAAAGAAAACTGAAAAGACAATCTTGGCACCAGGTTTTTTTTCTCTGGCCCTGTTCAAGAGATGAAAAGAAAGATGTAATGCCTTGAAAGCAGTGACAAGATGGAATTAGATAAGAGCCAATAAGAGTTAACTGATCTTTGTTGCCAGAGTTGCAGAATCAAAGAGAAAAACCATAATCAGTCAATTCAAGAACTGAGCAGACTTAATAAGAAGTCCCATGTGTTCTTTCTAGTTATTTTTAATTTTCGCTCTCAAACTAATAATTTTATTCACTGTGGACTGTGAGTGAAATAGATTTTTTGTAGGAAAACATTTTCTGTGGAACCTTGCGCTAACCAACCTCCTTCTTTCTTTGTTGTGCTCTTTGTTTTATGTTGATCAGCTCCCCCATCGTCGAGTGACCTTCTCCACAGCCAATCAGTCGCAAGACCTTCAAGACGCATCTCAGCACAGCTACTACGACAGCGGTCTGGAGGAGTCAGAGACGCCCAGTTCCAAATCATCGTCAGGGCCACGGATTGGCCCACTGGCACTGCCAGAAGACCACTACGAAAGGACCACACCTGATGGCAGCATCGGCGAGATAGAGCACCCGGAGAACGGTAAGACCAGGTGGAGTTTCCCCTCTCCCTCTATTCCTCTTTTCACCTCCACCATCTATCCATCCAAACATATACAGTGACAACAAGACAAATGCTGCAGGCTTTAATATAAATATTTAAAAAAAACACTGTTTTTCATTACACTCTTT